TATTTTCGAGTACCCGAGGGTATTATTTCTATTATATTTTTATTTTATTACTATTTACATTGCCCAACATCGTAACAAAATTTAGGTGCCCCAATAGCCAAGTGGATAAGGCGTCGCCCTCCTAAGATTCCTTGGGGTCAGGCGGAGGTCCCGGGTTCGACCCCCGGTTGGGGTTCTGTGCTATTTCTTTTTGTTTCATCGCCAGTAACAGGCGCTGTATACACCGATGTGTACCATTTTATTCCTCAAATTGGCAGATTTTCATGGGTATAGTATTCAAGTTTTTGGGACTGAGAATGGCTATAAGCCGAATCTGTTCGCACAAGAGGAAAACCACAAAAGAGGTGACTTGCTTCGATGAATTTAGTTACCGATGCTGATTGATTTTTAGTTTCAGCCGTTCTTTATTAGATTACACTGAATGCCATTGTTTTGGCATAACCACCCTCCCTTGAACTTATGTGGGTGCACCCTGATCAATTTGTCGGTCGTGACTGTAGATATTTCTTAGACGATACGAATAGTTTGGGGATGTAAGGATACATAGTTGGTTGGAGATGGAGTATTTTAACTGCCTTTTCCACCGGTGCATAATTATGACATTATGTATGAACTAATGGCCGTTGCCAATAGTGAAAGATTGATACCTGTTTTTTTTTGGTTATTACGAGTAGTATGGGTCGCTTTCCCCATGGTAGCAGGGACAGTAATTTAAATCATCGCATGGAAGATTGTTCTAAATTGTCCATTGGATCTCAACAAGACTAATAACCAAACCTTCACCTGCTCGTTAATCAACAAAGCGAAAATATACCGGCCCTGAGTGTCCTAGCCCACAAGGCACCGGGTCTGCACTGGCCGGGAGTCGAACCCGGACGGCCAACTTAGGGGGTAGGAATGCTAACCGTTACATCACCAGCGCATGGCTAACCCCAATTTGGTCGTTAAGTAACTGGCGAGCCCAATGGGAACGGCCGTTAGGCAAAGCTAGAATACTGATGCGCTCGGAACCAGCACTGGCTGGGACTCAAACCCAGATGACCTACTCACAAGGTAGGGATGCTAGCCCTTGCATCACCAGCGCTGAGCCAATGGCCGTTTAAGGTCAACCCACTCCTCCTCCGCAAAACCCAATAAACGATCGTGGTTCAGCGAAGTAGACGGGGGCATTCGAACCTTAGACTAGTCCCTTATTCAATGGCGCCGACTGATAAAAACGGCTAAACCGTGGCAGTTGGCCTTGGTCACAGTGGCATTTGTGTTGGCCGGGAGTCGAACCCGGATAACCAACTCATAAGGAAGGAATGCTAGCCGTTACATCACCAACGCACGGTCCCTCAGTCTTTATGGTGGGAACTGGTGGCTGGATATGAGGGGTCGTTGCCCGCCCCTCGGAGTTAAGGTCGACGGGGGGCGTGTGGAGAAGAATAGGGGGCTGGAAAGCCTATCTTCGGGAGAGGGTGAAGAAAAACTGGACGGCACCCGACCGGCCGTTGAGCTGCACTGACCAGGAATCGAACCCGGATCTCTTGCTGGCAAGGCAAGGATGCTAGACCATTGCAACACCAGTGCGCTATGTCGGGTATTTACGGTCCCGGAAGACGCTGTCGCCAACTCCGGGCTCCGAATGACATCATTTCCGGGGGGGCCACACGAGGCAGAGAGGGGGAGTAGATAGTCGGATGAAGTGGATGGGTACGCTCATGTGGACTAAAAGTCGGGCGTTAGGAGCTACTGAGGCTCTGAGCTACGATCGGACTACTAACGGATGTCCCCGTCATCGCGGAGGTCGGGATGTTATACGAAGAAAACCGGATCGGATCTGGTTCATTATAAGGCAATTTGGGACGATATATCCCTCATGTTAGTAACATATCTTCGATTATATTGCAAATGGCCTACTTACTTACGTCCCCTGCAACAGTTAAGCCCTGCACCACTCTATTCGGGGATCTGTTGCAATATAACCGAACCAGTATCCTTTTTATGAAGGAGGTGCGGATGGACCACCAATGGGGTGGGCTGATTGGGGATCCAGATTTATCCATACATATCGAAAATAACAAAAGAGCCTTGGCCTCCTCCAATCAGGTGGCTTTTCATTTTCCGGGTTTTTTAATTATGGTGCATACGGAGAGATATTTCAGTCCTTATTAGGATGATGGATTGCACCCGGGCCACATGATCGTGACTGCTCTTTTATATATATATATATTTATTTATTTAATTAATTTCGGACAGTAGCATAGGTAGGCCAGTGTACATCTCTCTGACAACCAGCTAGTCAATAGATCAAGACGGGTCGGAAAGGGAATAGGCAAGGCGCCGTAGTATTGTGGATAAGCGTAGGATAAACGCAGTGGGAAACGAGCGGAACCCTTACTCTATTTTTTCCGGATCTTGGTGAGGAACAGTACGACGTATTGTCTGCCTAGTCTTCACCCCGACATGCCTGTCCTCCCCTCCTCTTTTTCTGGGCTGCCGAGCCCAGGTCAATACTACTCGCCGTAATGACTAATGATGGCATGTGGAATATTTTTCCTAACCAGCCAACCCGCAATGAGTGAGCAGGTCCCTCCTCACGATGATTGGCCAAGAAAGATCCCAACAGTCACCAAGATTCACATTCACTCACTCGCCTTATCAAATTCAAATCTTTTCTGCACCCCACCACCTCATGTATAATCAACAGTACGCGTGCAATCCACATTAAGAATCGTGGAAGTTTGGTGAGGCGAGAGAGTGGCAGTCGGTCGGGATTTGATGTGTGCATGGGGGGCCACGGCCGCATTCGGCTATAGTGGGTGATTTAAATGACCCCTTTCACCAGCGCAAACCCTATTCTAGGTCACGCGATATATAAATATTATTTAAAACGAATGAGAGAGAGGTCGTTTCTATCGTTCAAAGCCAATGTGTAAAATATTAAGTGTGTACGGCGTTGCAGTTTGACATACCAGGGATATAATAGGTAGAGGGACCACAACCAAGGTAAAAGGAACCCCGTATCCCTTCGGCCACTTGTAGTGTCAGAGATATGTGGCGTACATATTCTTTTAATAGTGGAGAGGGAGGCTAAGGGTTTATTTTGCGAATGGCAGGATCCGGTTGGGTGGAGACAGCATGTCCAGAGCCACACTATGTCCTTCTCCTTTCGACAGTTGTTGGCCAGTCGAGTGGGGAGATTTACTCTCTCCATATAATATAATTTATGTGTAGTTTCGAATAGCCGATTTGTGCTATCTATACTCTCCCTAAGGCTGTATCTTTTTTTCCTTCCCTTGTGTGCTTTGCTGAAGGTTTCCTTAGTAGACACCATTGGTTCCACCGCACCGGCCTCTTTAGAATTAGTCATATATATATATACGCCTCAGCCCCCCTCGTTTAAATATATCCAACTCCACTGCGATCAAGCATGTTCGTTTAGTGCTCTATATATTGTATTTCGTATATTTCTTTCGTTTTGGCCTATAGTTTACGTGGTTTTACACTAGTCGTTGGCTCAAATATAGCGTGGTTTATTAACCTCCCTCCCCTCCTACCTCTTGAACTATTACTTCCTTTCTTTCTCTATTCCTGACTAAAAGGTGGCAGATACTATCAACCCTCCGTTCTATTTTTGTTCTTCAGCCAGCCTATCCTTTTCCCTTGGTTTTAGTGGGTGCTTTTTATTTAGCTCATATAGCCCACATTTCGTCATGCTCGATGCACTTAACGTCATTTTGTCCCGGGTGTTCGGGTACATGTCCATCGGCACCTGGATCATCGTGTTCGTGCCCCAGCTCTACGAGAACTACCAACGCGGCAATGCCGAGTCGCTTTCCATCCATTTCCTGTTATTATGGGTAGTGGGCGATATCTTCAACCTGCTCGGTTCCGTTTTCCAGGATGTACTCCTCACGACTATCCTGCTATCCTTCTACTTTGTCCTATTCGATGTGCTCATGATTGGTCAATACATCTACTACTACCGCAAGAACCACTACGCTCAGCCGGTAGAGGCCGGTTCCACCGAGAGCAGTCCGCTACTGAAACCCCCCACCACCGCTTCCGAAGCTACCCCACTACTGCTACCCGAGACGGCGGTGTCCGCGAGTCGTACCAGCACTTTAGTCGCCGAGCCAACCACCACCTCCGGTTCTCAACCGGCCAAATCACCGGAAGCGGCCCGGTCCCAGTGGCTTCTGCCCCTCGGCCTGGCCCTTCTCGCCGTCTCGTGTTGCTGGGGTGTTTACTATTATTATACCAGCGCGGTTCCCGCCACCCAGCCCCCGTCCGAGCTCCCCGCGACCCCACACCCACCTCTACCCGGTCATGGTAACCCCCCCCAGTTCCGGTTGTTCGCCCAGTTCTGCGCCTGGACTTCGGTTGTGCTATACATCGGCGCCCGTATCCCCCAAATCGTGAAGAACTACCGGAGCAAATCATGCGAAGGTCTGGCCCTTACCATGTTCGTCTTCTGTGTCGTTGGTAACAGTACCTTTTGCCTCTCGATCCTGTGCTACTCGCTCGAACCCCGCCACCTTCTGGTCAATCTGCCGTGGATGTTGGGTAGTGCGGGTACCCTGGCCTTTGATTTCACCATTTTCTACCAGTTTTACGTATATACCCACCGGCCCGCTAAGAAAGCCGCCGCCGCCGCCGCTGCTGCTGCTGCTGCTGTTACAAATGGCAATGTCGGCGAGAGTACTGAACCTTCGATGGTCGAGGTGGTATAGATTCTAATACCTACAGGGGTCGTGTTTTGAACCCCCTCCCTTCCACATATATACCATCTATGGTTACTTCATCCCCCTTGGGGGGCTCTCTCCCTTTCTAATACTCCCCGTTATTGATATACCTGCTATATATATATATATATATATCCACCCTTTTTCCTCATTTGTATTTTTCGAATTCCACCTAACTTATTCCAGTTTTAGTTACAAGTGGACTGCGTCTTGAGACCCCCCTCCTCATTTCTTCCCACTTGCCCGTCGAATTGAATCCCACATTGATTTCTATTTAATTTTAGTCGAGGGGTCGTTTTATTGTCCTCTTAATATCCCAAAAAGAAGGTTCCCAAGGGAGTTGTAGGAGGTCAACTCCTATTCGTTTACTGCCTTACATTGGCGAATTTACTTGGGGAGGGGCATCACCCTTAATAATCGCCTACATAAGAATATACATTTTAATTTATATACAAATATCTCCACCACCCATCTTATCCGCTATAATATTCCACCTAACCACACCGTCTATAAAAGAGCATGTTTCACAGGGATGGAAATCGTCTACATAAAAATAAATATTAGGAGATTATATGAAGGGTGTGTACCCTTTTTTACTTAACCGATATGCCATTGCGACAGGTGAAATGGATTTTTTGCGAATCCGCCGCGCCCTGTCTACGTGGTTCAAGTGGCAAACGAGTCGTCAAGGAGGTTGGGATTATAGCAAGGGCCGGGATTCTTGCCGTCGTTCATTGCTTCACAGGAGAAGTTTGACTCTCGGCTGTCGATTAGGCCAAGAGAGGATGGACGGAGGGAGGGACCTCCTCTCTTCTAGGGGTCTTTGGCTATCGCCAATGCCTATTGTGAATTTACAGCGATACACAGAAGTCTTCACGGAATGGCTAAAGTCGACACTGCTCTCCCGCGCCTTTAGGGACTACCACCCTCCATCGTGTCCCATCCGTTGATATAGCCCAGGTGGTCCCCCCCTTCCTCGGACGAAATGATAGTAACACAGAGACTTATTGCTGGCCAGTTGTCCGACACCGAAAGCCCCAAAGAGAAGAGGACACAGCGGGCGTATAAACGTTTAGTTCGAGAGAGAAGGGGGGGGTTAATAAGGGGACGAGGAATAATTGGCTTGCCCAATCCACTCGAAATCGGAATATTCCCTCCCTCCCGCACCTTTCACCTTCACTTTCACTCGCACACTTGTTGATTGGCTGGGCTAAGATGTGTTTCCGTTTCCTTTGGGCCGTGTTATACTTACCACTCTTTGGGCTGTAGTGTACCCCCACCGACCCATACGGTAGAGTCGGTCCCTGTTCTCGACTCTTGCCATTATTAGCCCTCCCTTCCCCTTATTCTCCCCGGCCTGTTCCGAAGGGAGAAATGTGCACCCCTCTCTGTCTACCCGAAGTATACCCTCCACCTTTTCGCTGACCCAGCCCGAGCCACACCGGCTTCTTCAATCCTTTAATTAAATCATCAGGCTTAAAAGCCCCGAATCTGTGGCTATATAAATACCCTATTCCTTTATCGACAAGCCAACTGTATAGTAGTCTCCAGCTTGGCATTTTCGGATAACATTTTGAAACGCGAGTAGGTCCGAGACTAAGCCAGTCTAAATCAAAAAACGCCCCGAATTTGACGGCCTAATATTTATCCACTTCAGGGGCACCCTTCCCCCACCCTCACCCTTCTACCTCTACCTCCTCCTCCTCAAGTTCGGAAAGACAATGGGGATCCCTACTTGGAATTCCGGATGTATATGCATAAGCCTCGCACACCACTCATTATTTCTGCCAGTCTAGAACCTAAACGAGCGGATGATATATCCACCTTCCCCTCCTGTAGCCT